CAAAACACATGGTATAGTCCACCAGGGAAAGTGCCAAAACCAGCAGTGGTATTGGCACATGGTGATCAAACTGCAACCTGCAACTGTGTTGTTAAGTGAAGACTTGCCTTACCTCACACCTTCAAAACATTTATCTTATTGCCCTTAGCTTTCTCATTTTTGGGTCCCTGTCTAAGTCAGGAAATACCTTTCTGTCCTGGGCCACCAACTTTGCTGAAGTGTACAACATCTCTGATTGTTGGGTATGTGGATTGCTGCTGGCGTCCAGTGCTGAGGGGATGCCATGGAAAGTGTTGCCCTTTAGCAAGACAGAACAGAAACTCCGAGTGGGGATGATGACTGTAGGGAGCAAAGACCTGCTGAGCACTCTGAATACTACATGGAGGCCCACTCTATTATTTGATTATAATGACACTAAGCAGTACGTGCTCTCATTAGTAAAGTACTGAAACAATGACTCCAAGATACCCACTGCCTATGACATTTAGGATGCTCTGGGATAGCTTTGTGCAGAACATGGCATGTTAGGCTTGGCAGCCCCTTTCTAAAAGGATAAATCATACTCAACACACACACACACACACACACACACACGCACGCATGCATGCACGCACGCATGCACGCAATGGTTACCACCCCTACCTGCCATGTCATTTACCAGGTATTGGACCAGGAAGGAAAACAAGACATTTAGAGCAGGTACATTATTTTGGCACCCAAAAATGGTATTTGGATATGTCGGACAAACCTCTGGCCATGCCTACTGCGTGGATGAACTGGCTGATGCACTTTAGGCTTTGCATCTCTACCAGGCAGGATATATAAAACCCTGCCCCGAGTTCCTCATAATTTCCCAGGTCTCAAGTCCAGGTGGAGCCAAAGTCTTGCCTGGTGGGAATGGCTGATAACCATTTTTCTCTCCAGGTGTCAGACATCATTACAAAATTGGAAGTCCAGGCATTGGCCAAATTTACTGCCACTGCCCTGAATGACTCCTGCCAGAGCATTTTCTTACTAAACCAAGAAATGGCACAAATGAGAAAAGTGGTGTTACAAATTGAATAGCTTTATTTAAAATGGATATATTTGATTGGATAAGTATGTTGTACTTGCATTCCTTGCTATGACGCTAATGTAACTGATTTGCTTTCTCACATGAGGAAGGCCATTGATCATGTAGATCATCTTTCCTTTGCAGATGATTTTACTAGATGGCTTACTTGTCTCCCTGGGAAATGGGGAACTGTAGATCTTATCTTCCTCTGCTTAATAGAGATATTATGCTGTTGTTGCATAATTGTTGTATTGCTATTGCAGAATAGGGATGTAAGTCACCACCTGATATCTAACCCTAAGGTCACTGTGGAAGATTGGTGGATAAGAATGTGCAGGCCCCAAAAGATGTAGGGGGTGGGGTATTAGAGGGTGAACAGGACTAAGACCACCTTGTGCCCTGCCCACCATGTTGACTCCTGTTTAACCTCATTCCTCTGTTCACAAACCAGTTATAGATTAACCTTAGTGCAAGTATAACAAGAACAGGGTTTAGAGACTAGGCGACATCAGTTTTCTCCTAGTTTTTGAAATATTCTTTCCTAAAACTGAAGGCACATTTCTGACCATGCCCTATAGGATCAGCTGTTACTTAACTTCAAGCTGACATGCTCACTTCTTTCATCATTTTCATATCCATTGTCAATCAGAATAAAATCCAAAGTAGCAGTTGTCTAAATTGTTTACATCATTAGCCTGGTATTCATTCTTTTTAATCAACTTCTCTGTTTTGAGCAGAGTAAAATGTCCAGCAGCAGTCTAGAGAGTTGAAGCCATCTATCGCTATTATACCACACCTCTGTAACAATTTCCTGATCATGATTAAGAAAGGCTTGAACATAAGTAGTTGGTATGACCTAAATTATCTCCTACAGTTATATCACTTTTTTCTCTCTTTGTATCCTCACTCAAATGTGGGCAATCATATTTTCTCCCCTAGGTTTCATTCATTAGTGTAACTTCTCAAGCTACACTTATTTTTGTACATCTTATCCTGAATAAGAGATACAATAATCTTCCATTGCTGTATTTCACGGATGAATCTTATTCCACCAAGCCCCAGTGAAACTGCTTAGTGCTGCTCTCTTAGTCAGAAAGAACCTTAGTCAGAAAGCCTTCACCTAACTTCTGTCGCTTTCCTAGTTCTCCTCAGCTCTACAACCATACCAGTAGGTACAGAGAGCAAAACCAGATACTTATTGAATTACATAACTTTTTCAGTAAGATTATCGCCATTTTGTTTAAGAAACTTTTATTAATCTACTAGGTAAAATTCTAGCCTTGATAGAGGAAATGGGTGTATTTTATACAACACAAAGTAAAATAAAATTTTTATATTTTCATTATTGTATCTGTATTTTTTCACTTTGATTAAACATCTCCTTTATTACTGAAGTTTGTTTTCTTACAAGGCTGATTTAGTTTCTTTTAGGCTAGGGCTTATGGACCCATGTTGGTTTTCTTTACTAGGTTAAATAGCCAGAGCAACTGGTAATAGCATTCAAAACTATGATCCCATCTCTTTATAGTGATAGCTTGCTCTAGTTCATATTATATTAATTTGAAAAATTTCCATTCCTCTCTCCCCTTTAAATTATACTTTGGTTATTCTGTAATTGTTTTGCCAATCCAGTAAGTACAGAATAAGTTTTGAGCATCCCAGGTTTTAAAAATCTATTCTTTCCTTGAGAGATGCACAGATTTAAGAACAATACCCCTCTCCCCCTAAATAAAGTTTTATTTCTTCTGAGTGAAGGGTGAGGCTGCATTATATTCACTCTGCCTATTTAGTGTATACCTTTTTTTTTTAAATTTCATGTTTACAAAAAGCTGTAGAACTATATCTTGGTACAGAAGATTGGCCTCTCAGAAAAGGGTCACGTGTGGCATGACCTTGTGAAGTTATTGTGGCTATGACTTAATCCTCAGCTTTGTAGGTAAAATGAAATCATTCAGAAAAACTGATGCATGGCAATCAAATTCACAAAATACTGATATTTAACCCCAAATGCCAATTTATAAATAAAAACCTATACTGGTCCATTATTACTTTCTCATTTTACCAATGAAAAGTTGTGTGGGAAGCAAATGTACAATTACAAGGTTGCATGGTAACCATGGAATCAAAACAAGGTGAAATTAATTGGACATGGCCTGCAAACACAAGAAAATGGTCTCATCTATTATGCATGCATCTCTGGTATAGCCGTAAAGTAAACAAAACATTTAAACTGGCCAGTTACAGTATCCATACTGCCAATTTTTGCCTCTCTGGCTAAGGTGACAAGTGATAACCAGGGTAGATTTATAGAACATAAAGTATTCCTAAAAGATTCTGAAATATACCTAGGAAAAAGAACTAACCCAAAAACTGGACTTCATGTAGGCACATGAAAAAGGGGGCTAGGGTTATTATTTTTCAGTATTAAAGGGAAAAGTGACTCCCCAAATCTAGAAAAGATGAGGACATCTGAAATTGCAAAAAATCTTCAAAACCAGTCTTTGATCCATATCTATATACACGCCCTTCCCTCTGCTTAAAATATGCCTCTTGCTGCCCACATACTTCTCCACAGCACTTTGCTTCTCTCCTCACCACCACTCCCCTTCCTCCATGTCCCCCACCTTTTGTCTGATTTTACTTCTCATCCTTTGGTCTTAATTTAAAAGTAATTTCTTCTAGGAAGCCTCTTCTGACCTCCTAGATATGAACTCCCACAGCACGTTCTACTTCCCCTTCATGGCACTTATCCCATATTTAATAGACTGATTGCTCTTCTTCACCAGAATGTAAACTTTGTAAAATAAATGTTTCTATCTGGCTCTACATTTTATCTTTAGTGCTCAGCAATGGGCTGCCACACTGATACTGTGTTAGCAGAAAGGTCTTGATGAAAACAAACTAAGGTGACATCAAAAGGCAGAGTGTACATTGAGGAGAGATAACAAAGTAATGAAACGGAAACAGCAGCTTAACTCTGTCAAGAATCTAGGGCCATGAAAGTGTATGTGTGAAAAGAAGGGTAGCTAGACTGGGAGTGTGAGATTGAGGAAAACGTTTTTCTTATGTTAGGAGAGATGTGATCGTGTTTAATGCCGATGGGTGTCTTAGTCCATTCCAGCTGCCATAACAACATACCATAAACTGGGAAGCTTATAAGCAACAGAAATTTGTTTCTCACAGTTCTGGAGCTGAGAAATCTAAGATCAAGGCTCTGGCAGATTGGTTTTTGGTGAGGTTTTTGGCAGATTGGTTTTGGCGAGGTCTGTGTACTGCTTTCTGGTACAGAGACAGCACCTTCTCACTGTGTCCTCACATAGAGAAAGGGGTGAGGGGTCTCCCTCAGGCCTCTGTAATAAAGGCACTAATCCCACTCATGAGGGCTCTGCCCTCATGACCTACTCACCTCCCAAAGGCCCCACCTTCTAATACCAACACCCTGGAGGTTGGATTTCAACATATGAATTTTGGGGTGATACATTCAGACTGTAGCAATGGGAAAAAGCCAGAACACAGGAAAAGATTGAAGATATAGTTGAAAGGAAATAACTGATGAAGGGAAGTCTCAGAGGAGACAAAAAAGGGATTCAAAACACAAGCGTTACAGATTATCTACCTAGAAGGAAACCTAGCGTTCACGAAGATGACAAGGAAGTAAACTGAATGCAGATTCAGATTATGTTTTTAAATTTAGGGGTAGGATATTGTGGGAATTCTCTTCTGATGGCTGCCACTCTCTCTTTGAAGTCAGAAGTGAAGTCATCTGCTAAATGTGTATGTATCTGTGTGTGGGTGTCCTGACAAATTTAAGAAAAGTTGTGAAAGTTTGACTCAGTTGGAGAAAAAAATTAATAAAGACCAAGAAGGATTTTTAGGCAATAGCGGAGAATAACAAATGTGTACGTTAGGGTAAGGTTATACTTTACAAAGAGATCTTCAAAATTCAGAGGTTTAAAAAAGACAAAAGTTTATTTCTCACTCATGTAATAATCCAAGGAGAGTACTCCAGGTCATGTAGGCACCCAGGTTCCTTTTGTGTTTTCCACCATACCCTCTGGCATTTTCCTCATCTGCATGGTTGAAGTTAGGTTGCAAGCAATTCCAGCCCTAGGGAGAGGGAAAGACCTTGAAAGAGTACATATATAAAATTTTGATGCCCAGGCGTGAAGTGCCACACATCAATTCTGCTCTTATTCTACTGGCAAGAACTTAGCCACAGACGGGCTAAGAAATGCAGTATCTGGTAATGGGCCCTGCTAAAATTCTGTTATTATAGAAAAAGGGGAAGAACTGATTTTGGTGAAAAATTAGCAGTCTTCACCAAAGCAGGGTTGTATGCTTTTCTCTAGCAATATACAACAGCTTAAATATAAAGGAGAAAAAAAGTTAATGAATTCAGTAGTTTTCTCATATAATTAAGAATCAGATATCTTAGGATAATGGCAAGTGATTTGAAATGATAGGCCATCATAATATCTAGGCTAAATAAAAAATGAATAATATAGCAGCTACTAGTTAACATTTACTGATCACTTACTATATGCCAGGTATTACTGTAAGTGCTCTAAGTGTACTGACTCGTTTAGTACTCATAATAACCATTTGAGGTAAGTACCATTATTCTGTTTTACAGTTGAAGAAATAAAGGCACAGAGAGATTAAGTAATTTGCACAAAGTGACACAAAAAACTAGTGGCAGAGCCAGGCTCATAACTAGCCAGAATTAACCTGGTTCCAGAACTCACACTCTTGATCACAGGATTATGCTGCCTCAATGATAGCAACTATTGTCTATTGAGTACCTACTCTCTTCAGATAGTGTACTAGTATTTCACATGCATTACCTTATTAATCCTTACCAGAAGCTTCTAAGTAGATATTCATTTTATTTTACCTTTAAGGAGACTGAAGTTTAGTTATTTAAAAACTTGCTCAAGGTCATGTAGCTTGTAAAACGGGAGAAACCAGGATCAAATCCGGATATGTCCGACTCCCAATCCCATTTCTTATTTTTAAATTTCTAAAATATTTTATTGAAGTAGAATTTATGAACAGTGAAAGTCAGCTACTGTAAGCATATAATTCAGTGAGCTTTGACTAATGTACACACTTTAGTAGCCAGCAACTTAATCAAGATAAAGAACATTTTTGTTACCCCAAAAAGTTTCCCCCTGCCTCTTTCCATTCAATTCCCCACCCCCTAGAGGTAACCACTGTTCTGATTTTTATTATTATAGATCGGTTTTGTTTATTCTTGAAATTCATAAATGAAAATAAAACCATGTAATATTTACTTTTGTGTATAGTTTCTTTCATTATGTTTTTGAGATTTATCCATGTTACTGTGGTTTAAAGTAGTTCATTCTTTTATAGCATTCAGTTGTATGAATATATCAGGGGCTTATTCATTATTTTACTGATGGACATCTGAATTATTTCCAGTTTTTGTTAATGGATGAAAAAAGGTACTATGAACATTAATGTACAAGGCTTTTTGGTGGATGTATACTTTCACTTCTCCTGGCTAAATACTAATAAATGGTATTGCGGGGTCATACTGTAGATGTATATACAATATTAAAAGGTACTGCCGATTTTCCAAAGTGATTCCAAATGCTCCACATCATTTGGTGTTGTCAGTTTTCCTAATATTAGCTATCCTAATAGGCATCTCATTGTGGTTTTAATTTTCATTTCCCTAATGACTGAAGATGTTGAATACTTGTAAATGTGCACATGACCATTCACACACATTCTTCTGTGAAATATCTGTTCAAGTCTTTTACCTATTTTTTAATTGGATGCTTGTCTTTTTATTACCGATTTATAGTGAATTCTTCATGAATTTTGGATACAAGTGCTCTGTCATAGATATTTATAGCTATTACCCTTTAGTCTGCATTTTCCTTTATCATGAGTTTTGATGAGAAGTTTTGAATTCTGATGAGTCCAGTATTAACTTTTACTTTTATAGTTAGTGCTTTCTGGGTTCTAAGAGATCTCTGCCAACCCCCAAGGTCATAAAGTTATTCTCCTATTTTTCCTCTAAAAGCTTCACAGTTTTAGCTTTTACAGTTACATCTATGCTTTATCCTGACCTAATTTTTATATATTATATGAGGTAGGAATGATGTTCATTTTCCAATCATACCATCATTATTTGTTTAAAGACTTTCCTTTCAATATTGAATTAATTTAGTGCCTCATTGAAAATCAATTAAATAGACATATATGTTCATATATATGTAAATATATATTAAATTATATATAAAATATATATTATTACTCTGTTCCATTGATATATTTATAGACTCTCCTTTTGGTTTTATTAATATCATAACTTTATAATAATTCTTGAAATCAGGTAGTGTAAATTTTCCAACTTTGCTCTTTTTCAATATTATTTTGTCTACCCTAGGTCCTTGATATTCCCAATTATAGAACTGGCTTGTTGATTTAAAAAAAAAAAATACTTATTGGGATCTTGTTTGGGTTTCCATTGAATCCATAGATCAATTTAGGTAAGAACTGACATCTTATCAATATAGAGTCTTCCTATTCATGAACATGGCATATACCTCCATCTCTTTAAGTCTAATTTGTCTTGGCAATGTTTTATAGTTTTTGGAATACAGGTCTTTGCGTCTTCCGTTAAATTTATTCCAAAGTACTTTACGTTTTTTGATGCTGTTGTAAATATTTTAAAATTTTTATTTCCAAATTGCTTGCTGCTAGAAATACATTTAATTCTTGCATACTGATCTACATCCTGTGAGTTTGCTAATAAACTCACATATTCTAGTAATTAGTTTTAAAATTCATTAGGACTTTCTACACATATAATCACGTCATCTGCAAATAAAGATTTACATTTTCCTTTATAATGTTTACCTTTTTTTTTTCTTGCCATATTATACTGTATAGTACCTCCAGCATAATATTGAAGAAATGATGAAAGCAGACATCCTTGCCTTGTCCCTGATCTTAGGGGAGAAAGCATTAATTTTTTAACCATTTAGTATGATGTTAGCTATAGATTTTTCATAGATGTTCCCCGTATCCCTAATTTGTTTAACTTTTATCCTAAATGGGTGCTGAAGTTTTTTCGAAAGCTTTTTCTGCATCCACTGAGATAATTATATGTTTTTTTCTGTAAATCACATTAATTGATTAATTTACTTTTTTTTTTTTAAAGATGACCAGTAAGGGGATCTTAACCCTTGACTTGGTGTGTGTTAGCACCACACTCTCCCAAGTGAGCCACGGGCCGGCTCTCATTAATTTATTTTTAAATAGGAAGCCAACCTTGATTTACTGGGATAAGATCCACTGGGTAATTATGTAACATTCTTTTTTATCTCTGGATTTGGCTTGGTAATATTTTGTTAGGAATTTTTGTGTCTATGTCAGGAGTTGACAAATTTTTTCTGTAAAAGGCCAAACTGTAAATATTTTAGGCTTTGTGGCCATACAGTTTTTGTCAACAACTATTCAATTGTGCTGCTACAGGGGAGAAGCAGCCACAGACAATATACAAACAAAGTTTTATTTTCAAATCCGGGACAAGCCAGATTTGGCCTGAGATATTTAGTATGCTGACTTCTGTCTGGTCTATGTTCACAAGGGATAACTTTTTTCATGTGACATTCTTGTTAGGTTTTTGTATTGTGGTTATGCAAGCCCCATAAAATGAATTGTGAAGTTTTCCCTCATCCTTTATTTTCTGAAAGTTTCTGTAAAATTGATATTATTTCTTCCTTAAATGTTCGCTAGCTTTCACCAGTAAAACTATCTGAGCCTGAAGTATTCTTTATGAAAATGTTTTTTAACTGCAAATACAGTTTCTTTTACAAATAAAAGGTTGTTTAGATTTTTTAGTTCAACTATGTTACTTTGGTAAGTTGTGTTGTTCAAGGAATCACTCCATTTTATCTAAGTTGTCAAATATCTAAGTTGTCAAATTTTATGGCATAAAAGTGTTCTTAATATTCCCTAATCAGACTTTTAAATGTCTACAGGACCTGTAATCATATCCCTCCTTTCATTCTAAATATTGGTAATTTGTATTCTCTCTTGATCACTTTGGTTCTTGAATGCCAGATACAATTACTATTGGAGGTACAAATGAGACTGGTAGAAATTTGATGTTTTCTGCCCTTTTGTGTCCAGAAATTTTGGCTTGTTATTTAGTTAAATCTCTCAGGCTGAGAAGAATAAATCAGTAACTTAACTCTTAAGGTCAAGTCGCTAGTAGGTAGCAGTAAAAAGATAAACTTTATTCTACTGCTGATGAATAATTACAAATTAGTGTTGTTCAAATGATACTATCAACATATTAATAGCTTTAATATTTAACTACCAGAAAAGATTAACTCCATATTACTAAGTTCTTACAAATTACTTATTTCCACTTATGAATTTAATATTTGGTGTAAAGCCATTAATACTGAACTCTTGAGAGATTTTTAAATTTGAAGGCTTAAATATGTCATCTTAATTGTGCTGCGCTATTTTTATTCTACCATGTAGCTAACCATTTAGAACACAGACTAGCCCAAAGTCCATCTTTTGATACTTACAACACATCAATTTCTTAAGAACACATAACCTGCATCATTATGTTAAATAATTCTTCCTGTAAAACAGGAACAATAATAGTATCTACTTCACAGGGTTGTTATGAGGATTAAATGAGTTAATAAATAAAGTGCCTAGAATAGTCCCTGATAAATAGTAAATACTAAACAAAACCCAGCTACTTTTAGTATAATTATGAACCTATGGCAGGATAACTTCTAAATTCATATTACTAATTTAAAAAATTAAGTATTACTAGAAAAATAAGCAAATAATATGGTAGTATGATTGAAAATTTAAATTACTCAGTGTATATATTATGCATTTTAACAATGATTTTTACATGAAAAAAACAAAGAAAAGAAAGCAGCAAGTTTAACCAAAAAATAATGAATAAAATGAATTAATTTTCACTAAAAATACAATTAAGTTTTAGAAGAAGGGGCTTTCTTTAAAAATATTGAAAAATAAAATTTATTAAAAAGCAATAAAATAATCACTTCTATGAAGTATGAGCTACATATAATAAGTACCCAAAATTCCATTTTTTCATCACATTGATGTCTTCTTTTAATCACATATTTTCTCCCTAGGATAATGCAAAATAATAGATTAAAATATGAAATATTTTTATACTCTTTTAGCACTATAAGTCCACTGTGATAATCAGGAGCATAATTTACAGCAAGAGTGGGAGATACTTAATCAACTGAAAAATCTGAATCAGAAAAAATCAATAATGGACCGCATGGATATAAAAAACAAGTAATTCTGGTTTTGGAAGGGTGGGTGTGAGTGCAAGGTTAAACTAAACTGATTTTAAAATTCAAAACAGGGGACATTAAAATAAGATGTTTAGACAGTGTCACATTGTAGTTTGAAGGCACAGTAAAGGGCAAATGGCCACATGAAAAAAGTCGATGAAAAGAGAGAAGAAGCTGAGCCCGTGGCGCACTCAGGAGAGTGCGGCGCTGGGAGCGCAGTAGCGCTCCCGCCGCGGGTTTGGATCCTATATAGGGATGACTGGTTCGCTCACAGCGCTCACTGGCTGAGCGTGGTGCAGCCAGTCTCAAAAAAAAAAAAAAAAAAAGGACAAAAAGTAAAATAAAATAAAATAAATAAACTTAAAAAAAAAAGAGAGAAGAATTAAAAATAGCAGAAAAAGAAAAAGACAAAAGGGAAATGTTTGCATATAAAAGCAGCAAAACATAGAGAAGTAGAAAAATAGAGGTAAAGGCCTAGGAGATTTAAAAAATACAGGTCAAATCTTCTTGTCACACCTTGGTCTTTACTTGGGCTGTGAATCTGAAAACGTTATCATGTCTCTAGGTATTTACCTATACTCCAGCTTCATCCTGTTTTTTCCATCTTTGTTTCCCCTATAGCTGATTTTCTCATTTCTTATTTTCATTTTACTGCATGGTATATATTCCATATTTTGTAAACTAATTACACTCCTTTTTGGAAATAATAGATTGAAATGATACTTCTCATAAATGGCTAATAAACTGTGAATGAGCTAACTAATCAGCATTCACAGCACTTCCACTGGTCTAATCCAAAATAGGATTAGAAGTGGAGTTAATGTGAAGTCTCTGAACTCCCTAAAATTGTGTTCAAAATTGTGTGCATGTGTAATATTTTGAGTTCTGAAGCTGAAAGCAGAACACTGCTGTAATTAGAGGCTTTATTGTGAATGGGACTGCCAATATAGTTAATCGTTCAGAAAATCAGTACTTGGTTTGCAACACAAGAAAGGGAGATAACTCTTATGACTGTACATTCTGGATTAAGGCCAGTTGATGCCCTACACACAGCCCAATGGTGCCCCTTGGCCCTTGCACTGCTTAAAATAAATTGCTTAAGGGTCCTTTACACAAATCAGCTGATGAAGTAAATCCTACCCACAGCCAGTCAGCTGGTTTCATTCTTGACAGAGTGAAACTCACACCATGCATTGGAAATAAATGTAATATCTGATGACACCTTCAAAGCAAACTTTTAAACTTTAGTCACTTACCATACCAAAGAAAATGATTTTTTGACAGTACAGATTAAATCTGAACATGGCACATGAAGACAATTAGAAAAAGTTCTACTAATGTAAGGAAGGATGTATAGAAATGAAAAGAAGTGCCACAGTCTTTGTCTTGGATCCATTCTAAAAAAAATTTTTTTTAACTTTTTAGACCACCGAAGTTATCTTGAAGTGTTTGAAAATGATGCAAATGGGCATTTGAAAAAAGCTGACATTATTTGAAAGGTATTCTTTATTTCCATAGGCAGACTACAGATTAAATGCTATATTATAAAGCATAAGGAATATGAGGAGCAAAGTGAGAAAGTAATTAGAAAGAAGAGAAGAACCAGAAAAATGGAAAATCATAAAAGTCAAGAGAAGATAGAAATGTAAGAAGGGGGAATGGATACTGTTAAATCTACAAAAGCTGAAAAGAAAGAAGCTACTAAATTAATTTATAACGAGATTTTTGTGACTTCCAAGAAGACAGTTCAGTAAATTTAATATTCAAGGGCCAAATACAGAACAGAGTGAGAAGGGTGGTATGGAGGTAGCAACAATGGACATGAATAGAGTGGGTATGAATTTAAATGAAATGAAAGTACATGTTCAAGGGGTTCTCCCTAAAAAAAAGAAGAGGATACATCTTTCTCTTAAAGAGAAAAGGAAGAAAAGAAGGAAAGGTGAACACAGAGCAAAGAAATATTTTAGGGTCAAAAGGTATAAAGATGGGGAGAGTTGGCTTTTATTCTTACTTTTTAATAATGGCTAGTCAGTAAATAAACTTTTCAAAGGTCAGTGATAGCTAACAAAAACTTATTCTGATCCTCAAAACTTACTTTCTCTTGATTTCTCTCATTGCACATTTCTTCTCCCTATTTTTCATTTCACTTCCTGCTGTCTCCCTTCCTCTGTCTGTCTCTCCCTTTCCCCCCATTATCTCACATCATACCTAGTATTTTTAGTATTAGTTATACTTAATGCATAAAATTTAAAATCTTTATTTTTCCAATAGTAGTTTTTTTCTTAGAGATTTTAAAGTCACTTTTAAGTCACTTTTCTGTGAATTTAAGGTTCTTTTTTT